TTTCACTAACTTCTATGAAATAAGAATCTTACGAACTTTACCATGCATATATATATATATATATATATATATATATATATATATATATATATGCATATATACACAGAGGGTCAAAGACCACCATACACTGCAGGTTAGAACTCAACGACACAGTTTTAGTTTGTAAGTACACAGTTCACGTGTCCAGTATTTCACAGTAGCACCAAAGCCATAAAATCGACCTCAAAACTATAAAGTTGTTTTAAATAAAAGTCATACATAATTCTTGTTCCAAAATGAGTGAATATATGTACGAATAGTTAGTTAATCAAGTAACCAGTGGATATTCTGAGAGTGAGAGAGTAGAGGTGAGGCTAAGTCTAGCGTAAACTTTCTCATATATATATATATATATATATATATATATATATATATATATATATATATATATATATATATATATACCGGTATAGTAAATATAAAACAGTTTTATGTGTATATAGCCTAACGAAAGTTTATTAAACTAAATCTCAAATGAATGTGCTGTTATATAAGAAATAGTATCCCACAATCATGATTATAAATATTATTATCAAGTAGCACATCATCACCATTACTAATATAGCTACTCGTAACTGTTATATGTTTCTAGAAAGAAGTGTAAACATACTCTGGTATTTTCCTGTGATGTGACTTGACATCAAGCCCTTAGCAATGAACCTCTCTATCGCAACTGCAAAGAGAAAGATAGATCTTAAAAACAGATAAGAAGTAAAATTAAAAAGTCAAATTCAATCAAAAAGCATTCCTGTTACTCAAAATAGGTAAGTACGGGAGTTGATGTTTAAGTAGTGTATAGTTGCATTCCATCAACAACTGTTTACAGCAATATTAAGTAGCATGATATGGGAAGATTCATAGAACATAGAAACACAGTAAAACCATATACTTAAGCGCAAATGGAAAGTAAATTCTGTTGGTGTAAAGTTTATATCCAGCATTACCTACTTCTAACAAACATGATTTCATACGTTTGTACAATCAGGGTGAAGATATGATTTTATGATAATGGAAGTAGATCACTGTCACATACTTAAACTCCGCGGGTTCCCTTATAACAATGTTCATCACATCTAGTAAAAATCATTTCTAACAGATTGTGATACCGTAGTGATATAAGTTCCTATTGCAGTCGCTTTCAAAAGCTTCATACTCTTGTAATAAATTCTTCCGTACGCCCTAATAGAAAAAGTACCACAATAGAAACGCTAGAACGATGCAAAATAATAAAAAAAAAATATGAACGCTTTAAAACTTCAGATTATTCATTTCCGATTTATTACTTTTATTTCTATACTTAGATTTTAAATAAGAAGTGTTTTTTGCAGAGGTAACGGAATAGGGTATATAAGAGTCATGGTTAGGAGAAAAAACCAGTTAAACCTATTACAATTGCAAATCTGATGGAAAGAAGACAATGTAGTGGTGTATTTTCTGAATCAAAACTATTGATGACAACTGGAAAGTATTTATCGATCGTTTTTGTTCATAATAGGTCTTATCTGACAGCAGGTGACACTTGTCAAAATATGCTGATTGTGGAGTCTACGATGTTTTTCCATTTCTACGAAGGTCCAGGTAAGTAGCCGATTTCTAGACTTGATCATGATATGCAGCAGAAACTCTCGAATTCAGTGTTACCAGAAACTTCAGCTGCAGAGCATATATACCACATTTTTAGCTAAATCAACTGTGTGCTCAGGCTGTCAGTAACAAATTCGAGAAAACGCCAGGTATGTGTGTAAAGGAAAAGTTATGCGGAACAACAGTTTACAGTTCCTCAGGTTAGGGATAATGAAAGGAAAGAAATTAACTGAAAGACAAGCTTATCAAAATTCCATGTAAATTCGCAGTAAGCATTTATTTTATAAGTTAGTACTAGTGATTACAGTGCACCAGGCAGACAGACCTTCAGTACAAATTCTTAAACATTATATTGAATAAGTAAACAAGTTGGGGAAATTAAAGTTGTAGAATTTCCAGAGTTCCTCCAATAAAAATAAATATGTCAGATTCGTGTACTTACAGCTGGTACATGGAATCTTTTTATTTAGTGATATCTACATATGATATCTTTCAACCAGAATATAAGTTGTAATAAAGCTAAAGTTTCACTGATGAATATTTCACACTGTCAGTTTAAGGGATTGATATTGGTTTACATTATAAATCAATATCACTCGAAATCTGATTGTACATCTGTTCATTAACTTCTCAGGTAATTCAGATTGTTAAAATGATTACTTATGTTACTTTGATCAAAAATAAAATTAATGAGAATTAAAAACAGGATGTTTCAATCATTTACGTCATCCCTATGGCTGAATTTTTGTGTGTGAATGTGTATTCTTTACTAGTGTTGACAATAGCAAATACGACACTAGTATGAATGATTGGGAATATGAACTCAGCTGGACTAAAACAACAAAGCCATCCAGCTTTATCAGATAATTATCATTGATTCAGTATTATTTTTGTCAAACTGAGTTATTTCATCTGATCCCACTCTATATACGTACAATTTTCCGTTTTGGGTTAGTCAACGAATGTGAAAGTGGACACACATACAAAAACAAACGAAGAGAATAAAGTTTCTGAATTGTGCAACTTATTCGTTTATTCGTCTACACCTTTTAACAACCATCACCACCACCACCACTGAAAATGCTATCAACAAAATCTAGTGAGCAACTCAATCATGTGACTGATTTTTAACCAACTAACCAACTGGCTGACAAGTGTGTATAAATCAATCGAATACAACAAAGGGAAGTATGAATTTCAATTATCACGGTGAGTAAACTTGTGTGAGTAAGAATAACAATTACATGTATCAACATTCTACTACAATATGCTAATGATGGACACATCAGAATTTTTGAGACGAGAATTCGATCAACTCAAATCAGGGGCAGGTGTGATATAGACTAATTTGCGTTAAACTAACAATGAAGAAAACACACTGACAATTCGACTGGCTTATTAGGTCGATTTTGCATCTGCCTTTATTCACTGGGCTTATTTCATAGTAAATTCTATTGACTGGTTATCCGAACACATTCGTGATTATGCAAACAAGTGAGAATAAATAATAACAAACACCTTGGTTTTTTCAAAAGCTTGAAAAGTCGGACAACTTTCGCGACAAAGTAACACAGGTCGAGGAACTGAAGTAAATAATGTAGGCCGGACCTCAACACCACTTAGCTTTAAAATCCACTCAAAGACTGAATCTCGAACTCTGTTTTTTGCTGAGTAACTTTACAGTCAAGTTACTGAGTTGGAATTTTACATTAAGTTATTGATTAACTTTGATTCTGAACCACCTCAACTATGCTACAATACTGACAGTGGTCGCCTATCCAATACTCCTCGAGTTTGGGTGGTTCCTTTACTGATACCCATTCCTGAAGAGAATTACTTCTATAATTAATAAGCAATCATAGAGCCACCAGTGTATGAGACTGATATTGAAGGAAAGACTGGGTTACAGAAGACTCAAACAACCAGTTTTCCCACTTACCAGTCCAGTTCTCAGTGGAACAAACCATGAGACCCAATAGCCTACCGGATCAAAACGTATGAGTGATATGTGGTTACCTGTTCATTATCATGTACACATCAGCTGGGTGATTGGATTATCTCAGATTGTGGTGATAGATTTGTCTCACTGTAGTAATGTGATGACCAACGCTTAAAAAAGGTTGGTTGAACTATAGCTTTAGATTAACCGGTTAGGTGGATATCTTTTTATTTGACGTACAATCTAAATCAAACAAAACAAACTCATCATATTTTTGGCCATTAGAAAGAAAGCTTAATTTGGTCACACCTCATATGAAATTTGTGTAAGATAATCCAATCACCTGATATCTGGCAAGGAGAGTACACAAATTCGAAAGCTTATTTTTCGAAACAATCCTATGACACAAAAGTATGGAAGTAGTTGGAATGAGTTTATTGAGATTAATTTCCTACTTTCTAGGCATTATAATGTAGTAGTTTGCTTGGTGGTAGTTAGCAGTGGAATCAATGAGTGATTATAATATGGTAGTCTACAAGTTTTTTAAGTCCACTAACTGTATAACAGATGAAAACTGCACGCCAAATTCTGTATAAGGCTATCACCAAATGAACAACAACAAACGTACCAAAGGCCCTAAACTTATGAATACATATTGTCGGTGAGCTTTATAGGTCCCACAAAGTAACAGATGTGTCCTATTACATATAGCATTGCAATTTTGGGTGACACAGGTTTGGATCTCAGGATAAATTAGTCCCCTGGAAGTTGCAAATACGCTTTGTAAACGGGTGCCAGGAACCACCAAAATTAGGTCCACGGCATCCTACCTACCACCTCTAACCATCTAACACATCCAGTCGACAAGTGTTTCATATCATTTAACATTCTTCCATTCAAAGATTTCTTAAAAATATGGATAATATTCAGTAAGCTGTTTGTAGATAGTGGAGCTGTGGCCCAGTGTTTTGGCGGAGATGACTACCAACCAATGGCTTAGAACTCTGCCCCACTTACCGAGGTTTGGGCAGCCAGGTAGTATCACTAGCCTTCATACAATAGGTGTGGCTCAGTGTCTACTGCACGGGTGTGTACAACGTGTCTGAATGCGTTCCGCTCTAGATAGTAAAGAGTTTGTATGAATAACCAGTACAGCAGTAAAACTTGGTAATTGACTTTTCACACTCTCCGGTATATAAGTGAATTAAAGTTTAACGCTTTATTCAGTCGTAATGCAGTAAACTGTGATTAACTACTGATTCAAAGTAAATTTCGATAGATTTTCTAGAAACTAAACTACTAGCTTTACATATCTTGATTATATATCGTTAAACAAATGTTAGAAAGTTCATTTTATTAGTAATTAGTACTCAGTCAACCAGTAAATGTGAATATATTAGTGCTACTAAAGTTGTGCATGAAATAAATGATCACTTACAGGGGTAGTTGCCTTTCTTCTACGAGATCCACTGATAGCGAAAGCTGGGTTACTTAAAGTCGATATCTGAGCTTCAGATGAAATAGAACCATCTTGAAATATTTGTGAATCGGCGTTCGCATCTTGCTCGGAGTTTTCCGGGCTAACAAAAGTGGTAGTGACTGGGGTTTTGGCTGATGAGACAGTTGAAATTGTGTAGGTGGTGCAAGAGGATGACTCAGCACTCACTATTGTCTGTTGTGATTGAGCTTTGTTAGCATTTTGGAGAGCTGTAATAGCGTTAGCCAGATTTAACGCAAGACTGTTTTGTGCAAATGTTGTATTGGAATTCATCACACTAAAAGGAAGTCCGCTTCCAGAAACTGTAGGGGGTGAAACACAGTTAACGCTGAAGACATCAGTTGTTGGCACCGAAGTATGGAATCTTTCAATAAGTTTTGCAGTTGGGTTCTGTAAGTAAATGAGAAAATATAACTGTGTGGACATCAGGTAGGCATGTGATAGCTGAATGATAGATGTATGGTTCTAAAAGCATTATTTTTCTCATCTTTGTTCTGGACAAACGCTGGTTTACAACGGTTATTTTTTTGAAAACATACCAGACTAAATGCAACTGTATGACTATGTGCACACCTGTACTGTTATCTTACTACAAAAGGAATTCGGACAGTGTTACCATTTTTACTGAAAATATCGCACTATTAAAATAAGCTGAACTACACTTAGCTTCTAGTGAACTGTAAAAAGCATGATATAGAGTCTCATCATTGGTTTGAACAAGATTAATTAGACATTTTTATGCCTGAACTTATTGCATCCATATTCCACTCTTGAGGATGGATGCTGAAGTGTCTCAAGCTTATAAAATAGCTTTCCTTTGTACCAATCATAAGATCAATAACTAATTTTCACACATAACTATTACCAAAACAGTGAATACTGAAAACATTTGGACTTAAAGGTACACATAAGACTGTTATAAAAGTAACTCTTAAATAAACAGTAAAAACTGTAAGTCAGTTTGAGTGATCTCTGACTACTCACATTACTTAGTAGCATATTTCAAAAGTGGCAGGTCATTCATAAGTTACAGTCAACAAATCACCAGCCGTTACTAAATATGAAGTATAATTTTTGGGGTGTTTTTCATTTAAACCAGTGGATCAGAATGAAATATGACTTACTGCTACCCTTACTTACCTGTCTAACTCAGTTAAGTAGCTCAGGGGAGGTATGTACACTTCTTTCAACTTTAAAAACATCGTTTAAATCCTGGTTATTAGGCGTAAGAAAATAGGATTTACGGCCTGTCACGAGTTGTAAGGTGGTAATTACTTCTCAAAAGTAAAACTTTTTCCTGATAAATAAAGTATAAACATACAGACTATAAATGTTTTTGGGAATCATAAAACAAGCCATTTCATTCTACATGCAGGGAAACTTGAAATGCTATACTTTCTTCTAAGGATAAACCAGATACACTATAAACACTGGATAAGTTGCTACAAATAACTGCAGAGATCAAATTATAGAAATGTAATCCACATTTTTGTTCATTTTTTAAAAGATTTACAGAGATGAATGAATTTGGATATGACGCTTTATTTGAGGTGGTTTTGGTTGTTATCTAACAAATGAATACAGACGGTAGACAAACAGATTCCTTATGGTGACAACCAAGATAGTGAATCATTTAATTCTCATATAAACCGAAGGGAAATATCTGCTTAACTTTCGTGGTCACTGACAATGTAGCATGAATTTGAGAGAAAATCACGACAATTCGCCTTCATTAGTTTAATGAAAATGCTTCCTACAATGCTGAACCACTTGTTGAATACAATACAAACTTACGATATCTTTTGAAAATAATGTACCACTCAATGTGGCGTTTGTTGTTCTTGTTTTGAATTTATGCAGATATACAGCTTTTCTTAAATAAAGAAACTTTTCAGTGCTACAAGTAGTAAGTACACTTGATATTCTTCAAGCAATAAAAGTTATTTCTTCTGTTAATTGATGACTCCCAATCGATTTAGCGTAATTCAGATGATGCCTGCAACTGGTTAATCTCTCAAACGGGTTTGGTCCGGTAATAAAAAACCAGCATAGGTACCACATCAGTGTAATAAAATCCCAGTGAATATGAAACTGGCTATTGGTTATTCCTGACCATTATGCAAACATTTATCGCTAGTTTGTAAACTTCAGGATCAAAATTTGACCTAACAGAGTTGAACAAGTTGAGTATTGGGTAATTGGACTATAAATGAAATATATTTTGTAAAATCATCGTTTACTATTTAAACTATAGATAATTTGTACAGGTTTTATTCTATGAAGAAGCGATTTCCACGAAGTCGCGAAACGTCAGAAATTTATTTTCCCTCTTCATTGGGATTTTACAAAATATATTTTACTTATCACGATGTTAGTTATCTGTTTCAAATACCATCAACTAAATGCAAGATTCTGGTACCTTTTTCCCTACATAGAGTTGGATGAATTCTTGATAATATATATTTTAAGCTTCCTCTTGACATTTAGTTATGAACATCTCATGGATCCCCACGGTACACAGAAGTGACAAAAAAGAAATTTGATAAATCGTACTGCATCTCACAAGTGTGATGATTTTCCAACCATGAACTTGGAAACTGAAGAGTTAAGAAACCTTAACTCTTATCAGACCACCAAAGTTCCATCTGAACATCTACAAGTGAAATTAATGTGTCACTGCAAATCTTTAATAATCGAGGTACAAAGGTATTCATAGTAAGGTGCACATATGTTTACTATAAAAAATTACGTAAGTGAATTGAATTTGAAGCTGTAATATTTAGCGTGCATGCATATTTTAAAACCTTATGTAATAAGCCATACTCTTTGTGTGAAAGTCCGCAGTCATCTTCAAGAGACTAAATATGAGTTTCTACAAAACAACATATTTCGCAGTTTCAATTGTTTGCAAGCGAAGAAGAATGTGAGAAGGACTCGTTGACTGTATCATAGGATACTACTACTACACAAAAGAGCCACAGAATGATACTACATTGTGTTTTTGTGATTATTAAGATTTCTCCAGAATGTAAAGTCCCAGGATGTTTGGAAAATCCACGCCCAGGAAAACTTTGAAGATAACCCTTTCATTGTGAGGGTTTATTTCATTGTTAAAACTTCGAAATAAAATAATTCCTCAGTTTGAGTTTGGAGTTTCCCAGAAATTCAGTCATCAAAGGATTTGAGAGACTATTCTTACGAAGAAGATTTCTTATGTTGTGCTTCGGTCCCTCTTTGAGCTAAATGTATAAGTTTGCATATAAAACCCTGTATTATTCATTCATTTTATGACAGCTAAGAAGGAAGCTGTGTTTATCACAAAAGTTGTTTACTAGAAGCTTGTTCATGGAAAACGCTGTGTTATACAGAGACCATACTGGAATTGACCTAATGTCACGCCAATCAATACACTACCTAATCACTGGACGGCCTGATACAGTGAAACACGAAAATCTCAATACCAAATGGAGTAGTTAGGAGGGTTTACTGTGGGCCTTTATTAATCAATGATGAATTTGATCGTATACACATATATGGATATTCAAGGAACAGTACATAATCTTTGAGGATTAGTAGAAAATGAGGTTTTCTAGGACTCCCACTAAATAGATAGGGAAATTTCCATACTAATTTAGATGGATATGTGCTGAAGAATTCAGGAACTCAGCATAAAACTGTGACACAGAATGAGCACAGAAACAATTTCTAATATACTTAATCTCGATCAGATATCGAAGAACTGTGAGCTTTTTTACTGCGGTCATTCACAAAGGTTAGTAGTGTATTACTCCCATTTATTTAGGACCACCTTTTGTGTAAATCATATTATAGTCTTGTATTTATTAATCTCGAAGTTGAGGAAAACAACGAGTTATTCCATTGTAAGATTCCCATCATCATATGATTAGGAAGTACACATAATGTCATTTAATTTACAAGGAAATCCTATCTTGTAGGACTTTGGCTATGTCCACATATCACATTTAAATCTTCACATTTTTGCTTTAAATGGGACTAGAATACATTCATCTACTCATGTTAAGTGACTGCGATATAAACCTAAGCCTAACCGTCCAATTTAATAAAACTTAATGGATAGTCATTAAAAACCTCGTTTTAGTGAGTAGAGTTATACTTGAAGACTAATGTGTTAAATAAGGATTTTATGACTCATATTTGTTCAGAATTGAGGTGACAAGAGAATCTAGTTCAAATAATGCAATGTGAGTGTATATTAAGAAGCCCAAATAAGTAGCAAGATCTAGTACGACAAGGTTTTGGACTAGATGAAACACCTGCTGAAGCCTAGTATTTTCGTGACGCAATAAAAGAGGTGATTTGTACCACAAAGCTGGCTATAAGGTGGATTTAAATGAGGCCTACATGTACTTGTATGTGATTTCTGTGCAAAAAAGTAAGTGTTATTGTCATTGATATCTAAAGTTTTACCCGGCACATGTCTAGAATGTTCGCTACTTATGTTGAACTCTAAAAAAAGGTAGAAACCCATAGTACATCGTCCTAAAAGTTGCAGACCAATGGTGCTCATTGGATTTACCATGCTGAAACCAATTGTTATTAGTAGTAATTTCCTTGGATGTGACAGAGCTATAACTACGACTGTTCATAGACCGAATGAAGTGGGATACACCAAGATCTTTAATTCAATATACAGCCTCAGAGAACAGTGTATATTATAACAGTAGGCACTTAACTTATTTGGAGGTGAGTCTATCAGGAAAAGGATTCGACGAATTTTGGATTTCAGGTATTAAAATACTTATGCTATCAAAAGCTTCGTTGTATTGTATAAATAGTGACGTAAAATAATGCTTACAGTATTTTACACTTAACGTGAACCATGTAAGAGACAGAGTCACCAGTAAGTCATTGAAAGATGTTCAAGGAAGAATAACTAGTACCAGTATTTGACTTCAGCAGTGGCGAAAGTACCGAAATGACCGAAACTTGGAACGTCTAGACACCGAAATGTTTACCAAGACTTTTTTTATGTTTGGCTTTTAATGAATTTGAACAAGTCAACCGGCACTTGGTGGCAAAACTTTCAAAGAACTATGATATATGACCAAACCACCAGCTCAACAAATTAAGCCGAAAGTATGACTATCAAACACTGGAAATGTTATAATTTGCAACAAATATATAATCAGAGTAATGAAAGATTACCCGTTTGTCGCAGAAGTGATTACAGATATCTCTGTTACATTTGATCTACTAAATGATCATGGAGATACTAAGAGCATTATATGAAGTATTCGTAGCGACAGCTATCTTGATAGTTCATTATATTACAGAGAAAATCTTGTTTCGCATCAAGAGGTTAGAGGAAACCTTAAGGGAAGTGGGTAAAGCTACATTAAAGTGCTCAGTAGTTGTATCAAAACTACCTCACCAATAGATACAGTGTCAATAACAAAGGAAACAGTCTTCCAACTGTCCAGCAGTTTTAAACCCGGAAAATCCCCGGGTCCCGATGAATTGTAGTCTTTGCTAGCGGAAGTTGTTGCTGAGCTAGTCACTGATCTTCTCAATATGTTCTTATCTTAGACTCAAATCCATAGAGACTCGAAAGATGCTGTAATCAGTACAGATTTTAAGACCGGTTGTTGCCAGTTGGTAGGTAACCATCGCTGAGTGAGTATAATTAGCACAGCTTTTTAAGGTTTTGGGGAAATAACTTGTGATTAAGTATTTAGCCATGTTGACTCAAAAAATCTTCCGTCACCACACCAACAAGGTTTTTGTGCTGGACACTTGTTCAGAAAACCTCCTAATCGCGAGACAGAAATGGGTTGCAGACTGCCAATAGATGCCATGTTTATATACTTCGGTGGGGCATTTGACAAAATGTTCCGTGTAAAAGTACTTAGATTGAATCGACTTAGCATGAATCTGTGTTTCTCTTATCGTGCAGTCAAAGACTGGAACTCTTTACCTCAGCAAATAGTATCAGGACCTTCAGCAAACGCGTTCAAGGAGAAACTAGATTTTCACAGAGATATTTTCTGTGAGGATTAACAAAGGCCAACTGGTCTATAACCCTCATTACAAAAGACAGAAGTACTATGAGGATCGGTCTATTGGTAAATAACTTGAGGTTTACCATAAACCCAGTATATCACACAAGCTTGACAAGTAGTGCTGTGCAACTTCTTGGACGGTCAAAGGGCAAACTGTTATGGTTAGAATATCATCTCAAATTTCTTAGCGCTGAACTCTGGGATACATGAGGCAAATGAAAATAAGACTTGGTGTTGAAATAACGTTAAGTCAAGTGTTTCAAACTAAGTGCGTTTGAAATATGTATTTTTTATTTGACTGATACCTCGGTTTTCCAATTTGACTGACACTAAAGAAGATAATGTTGCCAAACCATTAACGCAGCACTTAAACAGGTGGTTGTCAACCATGTGGATAAGAGCGAGAAGTCTTGTTAGGATCGTTGTCATTACCTGTTACATGTTAGCAAAGTACCATGACAAATTGAAGAAAAACGGTGTTCACAGTACATCAAAGGATTTAGAAGGGGAAAGAGAATACAATTAGCTGAATGATTTAGACATGAAAGCATTTTGGACAGCCGCCTTCAATAATTTGGAACCCTGCCAATATGGATTAGATAAAACGACTCATTAAATTAGTACATTTCATACAAACCCACATGTTTCAGGGAAACAAAATGGTCTAAATACATGTACTAGAAACAATCAGTCAATGGGCTAGATATAGAGAATAGCCTCACCATATTCCCCCAGTCAAAAAGTTTTCAGCCAACTGAATCACTCTGCTGTTGTTTCAGGTTTCCGAATTCCACTCACTTTTTTAAATTACACTAGTGACTCCAACTGAAAAACGAACTTCGAAAGGCTAAGAGATTGATAAGTGAGTAAGAATGTCATCATATTATTCTCAGAGTTTTTTCGGAAGGTTGCTTTCAATGTTTCTAACGACAGACGTCTAGGAATACGGTAAATTATCAGGAATGTAGAACCATGGTTAATAATCTATTTCAAAGAGGAAAACGTTTAAGTAGAAACCACTTACCTCAGTTATCCGGTGATATATCCGTAAGTGTTCTTCCATCAAACATCGTTCTGTAGACAAACTAGAGCATTGAGAACAGGTATATGTAAGGAAACCAAGAGATGATGGATGCTGTAGATGAAAATGTTCCTTTAAGGTGGATGGATTGAGAGTCAAGTAATCACAAACATTGCATCGAAGAACGTGAACATAGGAGGTCGCCGCATTGGTTAAACGAGTTAAGACCACAGAAACAGTCTTAGCTGCCTGCTGATTAGTGTTCCCGTCATTTTTTAACACACAAAAATTGTCAGGTGAACATTGCTTTAGCACGTTGTTATTCAGAGTAAGCGAAGCAATACACTGCTTTAAAAGGGGTTCATGAAGTTGCTCCATCTCGAATAATACCTACTGGGATATAAACTACTGTCAGGAGTAAAAATATAAACAGTAATTTCAGTGGCTGTTCAACGAAATTCTCAGTATGTGCGCATCAGTTAAAGAGTATGTGATATCGAACATGTATTATGAATTGATGCAGAAAAACATATTCCAGGCGCCGGTACGACTGTCAATATCATGCGATCAGGATAGGAAATTATTGAAATCCTGAATATTCTATTTATTATTGACTGAATTGTTTTTAAGCTCTGAATATTCGTTAATGCTGTACTGTTTGTTGATATCATCAAGGTCGTGAGGAGGATGCTTCATACAGGGCTGAAGAAGCTTGCTAGATTCAGCACTAGAAACCATAAGACAGAAGATTAAGGACTGGTTAAAAACCATAAGGAGGGGAGTGAAAGTAAATAGGACACTGGTATTATGAAAAGCAGTCAAAAGTGGTGTCGCTAGGTAAACTGTACTTACACATATGTTCTGAAAGAGTGTGTCGTGGCATTCCTTGCCCTCTGAAGTAACTCACATTTGTGTCGTTTAACACATTGAAAGTTCTTTTTGTTAGCCATAACTGAGTTTCTTATTTTTAAGTGCGTCTTCAGACATTGCTTGTTTGAAATTTGTGCTTTTTACAGTTTTTGCTGTCTGATCTAATGTAATGCGCTAGTGCTAATTTCCCTTTTAGCCACCTGTTCTATTATAGACAGAACAATTATCCATAACCACACATTTAGCCAGCCGGAATATCACTACTCAGTTTACAACAGCAAGCAATGCGCTTGGCTTGGGTTGTGGCCTTACGTAATATGTATTGGCTTCACAACAGCTGCAAATAAGCGGCGCAACAAACCGATTTCAACCTGTCAGCGTAGCTGTTGCTATAAACATGTTTCTCCTTTGATAAGGCCACCCGCTGAGGTTTTATTGACAAGAAGTTTTTTGTATTGTAGGGGGAGACTGTCGTCAGACCAACACATAATCGGACAACTATGCAACTGGCCTAGTTGACAACACAACTGGTGAGATAGTAGAAGATCAATAAGTGTTGGGTGATCTCGCGCTGGAGAGTGAGGCGATTGCACCAGTTGAAACCCTTGACAAACGACACTAGATTTGGATGTGACTGGCTCGTCGACTATGGGACTACTGAATCATAAAGGGTTTTATCTTTATTGGTGTAACAAATGCAAGCGGCGTGTGACACCTCAAGCACGTAGAACGGACTGCACACCATTGAATACAGCACCGAGAACAAAATACCAGTGCATTGGGATTTAGTCTTTGAAATCAGTTGCGATGCCACCTGGCAAACCTCTATTTGTATTTGTTCGTGCCATAGGTCTACTGGTATACCATCCTCTCAGCATTCGGGTACTAGACCTGGTATTACGCTGGGTAAATTACGAGAAAAACTGCAGCCAGTCGGAAGTTGGACGGAAGAAACAAGCTTTAAAACCACATGGGTGTTTAGGGTTGCCGGAAATGAGGAGTACTGAAGGGTCGAAGCACACGTGGTTTTGAATGAGAATGAAAACTGAGTAGAACTACCCTGTGAGCTTGTTAATCTTTTCTAACCAACCAGTCCTGGAGGGCCACTATCTCCCCGGGTGCTAAGCACATTTGCAAAGTGAGCAACTGTCAAGGAAGTAGATCAGATGAAACAACGTCCCTGATCCAAATGGTTCATGAACTCCCATAAGCCGAGGTATTCACTGACGACGGACAACTTGCTGCGTACTAGAAATTTTTTTGGGGAGAGGGGGTTTAATTTGCATTCGGTGTCGAAGTCTCAAGATGTTAGTCACCGTTAATTTTATTCCTAAACTACTGTAGGGGGCAGCCATGGGGGGCTATAGAAGGTCATATCAAGCCAACATCACCCCTGGCTACCAGAGGGCGTGTGAGGCGCTGGAACGATAGACCTCATGAAGTAACGCCAAGTTTTAGCAATAATGGACAGTGGCTAGCAGTGAAATCCGGGACACGCATTTCGTCCCGTTTGAGGCTCGTCAGCTGGATGTACCTGCTTCCCGGTGGGTGGCGTTGTTTCCACCGGCATCCGGGCTCGGGCGAGATCACCCAAACAGGAAGAAATGAGTATTGTGGATTCCACTACCAGCCACCATTACTTCAAATAAAACACAGGTAATGTCGAGGCATTCCTGAGGGGGCCCACATACCAATAGAGACCGATCACTTCGTCCAATCAACGACGGTGTATTGAGAGGTTTGTTTGATATCCTTAGCATAGAACATAACGATGCCGAAGCTGTGTCGCACTTGGCTCTTTGGGAATGCTAGAGTGGGTAGTGAACAGACTGCACCCATGTCTATAGATGAAGTGCGTTGAAACTGTAGAAGGGCTGATGATAATTGTTGTGAACTGACGTTCACAGAATTTTCATGGCTTCAGGAAAAATCCAGTCGAGTAGATATGGTAGATCAGGCACCAGTAACAAACAAAACCTCATCAAGGTAACATGCATAACTTAGCAACGGGAATTCAGGCATGCTTGTGCAGACCAACTTGCATACTACTTATACGAAACCATACATTCGGTCTCTTTCCACAGTTCATGGCATTGTCTGCTAACTAAAGGGGGGTCAAAGGCGAAGGGGAAGGCGCCTGCCATTTCTGTCTCAAAAGTTTACGCCAAGAAAGTGAAGTGCTTGTGCTCTGCGTGATACAGTTAGCTGCAGTGGTCCTACCTATACCCTGCTGCGCAGATACACACCGACGCGAGGGAATATAAACGAACTCAAGAGGCAAGGTTATTGCAAGTATATTGAGCCACCAAAAGAAGGTTTGAATCTCGGATTGGTAACGATACGTCTGATGGCTGTTTCAATAGAGGTTTCGGGCTATGCCCTCTCAGATAACGGTTCAATTACATTACCCCAACGAAGTAAGATATCTTACCATATTTAGAGTTACAGTCAGGTGTAAGAATGACCACCGAAACGGTGGGTGGCGACAAAACAAAAGGCGCGACGAGTGGCCTCTGTTTTTGGTGCATTTGAGGCTCACAGTGTTCCGAAAGCGGTAGGGAGGTAGGAAGAACATGTACGCTGCAAAAACGTCGGGTAGGTCGTGTTTTGACTAAGGCGCTATCATGTGCTCAAAAAGTGATTTTCAAGTCGTGTCTCAGTTAGACTCACTGGTAGGTCGGCCTAAGAGAGATTACGGATATCATTGCGGTGATTCACACTCCGTGGAAAAGTCGCCATCACTGGATGACTCGGTTGTGGCAGATATGGTAGAGTGGGATGCTTATGCGGATGGCAAGCGCTTTGTTGTCCCCTTGATTAGTGAGATGGGGATGAAGACGGTGGACGGCAGTTGTGAAGTTGCCAGACAGCCTTTGGAGTATATGGAACGTCTGCCCTCATCCCATAAAAGTGCAACACCAATACCGTGCGGCGGACTACCAGGAGGTAATGAGTAACTGCATTCCCTGAGTCAGCTCAACCCTAGGTACCGCCTACAATGGTACTTGGCAAACGATGCTATAATTGACCCTGAGAAACCGGAAAAAACGGTAGTGGTACCAAGTGGGCCGCTAAAATTTTCCGGAGTGTCCTTGAATACGTTTCTCTTTAGGGAAGAACACACAACAGCGGATTTAGCTGGTGTTTTTTGCGTCTCCACAAGGAACTTGTTGCTTTGACTACAGATGCAGAGGAGGTGCTTGTTCAGGTAACAGTCCCTGGTCCGACCAGGAGGCACGGCGGTTCCTGTAGGAGCCAAAGGGTAGCTTTGAGAAGGGAACCTGCAGGGCGTCAAATAAGGCCACACTTTTTCGATTCAGAATCATCGTTATTTTCGGTGGATTTTGCAATGATCAACACACTTAAGTTGACACGGCTAGTGATTATGATCGCAATTTAATGGGGGCAGTGGAGCAACGCTTAGTGTTGATGACTGCCGGCTGCAAGTTTTGAGCCATGAATGTGCGGGAAAACTTGCGAAACAATTATGTGCGTTGATATCGTCAAGTGGTCTCAAACAGAAGAAGTGGGGGAATAAACCAGAGGTAAAAGGAAAGTTCTTCCGAATATAGGCAGCATGAGACCTCAGTTGACCTATACGTAAATCAAGCTTCCGCTCAAATGGCTTCAAGTCTTGAGTGAGACACAACACATGATGCTTTTAAATGTTGCTTTGAGCCCGCCGAAAACTCTTGGCAAGGAGGGGGAGTAATATCTTCTGTCTCGGCTCTGTTTGATTCACTGTCTGGTTGCCCCACTGTACCTTCCTAAAGCACAACCCTTGCAGAGACTTTGAGAGTCCCACATTGGTAGGAACCAGCACCTAGGCTCCAGTCGTATACCCTGCGTAGGTAGATTGAATGATGTGTATGGGGAACCTATGAAAAATCTCCATGCCCAAAGATATTGAGAACCAAGACAGATGATGTTACGGAGGTTGAATTGCATATGTTTTGTGATGAACTTGATCCTGATTATGGACCAGTTTCATACTCTGAGACGATTTTTAGACGCAGACACCTACGCGGCATACCGTTCTATAGGAAAGCCTGGGTCACTCCTTTAAAACTGACGGTGCTTAGGTTATGGTTAGCTGCCGCAGTCTTGAGTGTCCGAATGGGTGACGTTTCGAGGAAGAGTTTTCCGGAAGTTTCTGACAAGGCTAATTTTTGGGCAGATTCCATAACTGTTTCATATTGCATAACAAGTACGAAGAGTGGGCCTAACATGTTTGTGGCCAACCGCCTAACCGATGTCGATCAGTGTCTACCCACTGGTTAGTGGGAAAATGCTGAGCCCGACGAGAATCCTGTGGGCTGGACTTCGTGAGGCATACGGAGAGGTGACTGAAAGTTTTGCCACAGGACCCAGCATCTGAAGAAACCAAGAAATTTCAATTCCACAGGACTTTACCGGCGAGACCTCCAGACATTTTGGATTCAAAAGGCTTTTTAAGGTTAATATAGGCATCACTGAGCTCATGACTGCTCCACTAATGTTGTGACATT